ATCACCTTCAACTTCTCCATATGAAAAGCCGGGTTGATAATCTTTCGGTGCTTGGCCCATTTGTCATCCTCGAGAAACAAAAGCCCGCCCGCGACCGTTTGCCCAATCGGGTCGGGCAGAGGCTTTTGAAACACGTCGGTCCTCGTGAGAATCTCCTTCAAAAGCTGCGGCTCGCAAATAACAAGTCTTGGAAATGGCCCGAACCATAGAAACGAATTATCTCCTATAATCCACCACAAAAAAAAAAAACAATATTTTTCTCTTTTTTTTACGAAAAAAAAAGTTGAGAATATAGCTAAAATCTTGATTTGTTCGAATTTTAGTTGGCTTACCGTACTTGCTACGGATTTGGTGGTAATAAGGTAGAATATGCGGCGTCAGATGATCCGAAATTCGGATCGATTTAGGTTGTTCATGTTTGGTGATCGAGATTAAGTCCTTGATGTCTCCGAGCAAGAATCTGTAAGAGTTTCCATGGAGGCCTTGATTTCGAAGGATTTTTTCGAGCCTTTTTGGTCTGAACCAAACCCAGTTCAAGAACTTGAGTGTTAATGCTGTGAATCCAAGTATAAGGATCGAGAACAAGATTGAGCTTACTTGGACTTCCATTCTTTTATTCTTTTTTTTTTTTTTTTCCTCGTGTTTTTGTGACTCAAATGTTGTGTGGAGTATATCTGTATATGGATTGATATAGGGACTCAGCTGTGATTTTTGTCTGAAAATGTACGGTTTTTTTGCGCTTTTATTGTTCGTTGGTCAATTTTAGAATGGTTTGCGTTGACAAAGGTGGTTTGATAGTTATCGATTCGCATTAGGCACGTTAATAGAAACTAGTATGTAGTCGATACGATGTACGTATAGATAATATTAAATAATAATTATAAATTAAAGATATTGAAAAATAATATTAACTAATAGTTTTAAATTAAAGATGATGGTACACAATATTAAAAAATAATTATAAATTATTGATGTGGAGTTATATATGATATGATTCGTCATATATCATATAAGTTGTAAAAAATATAAAATTATCTTATATAACAAAATAAAAGATATATGTTAAAATATTAAAAGTACCTAAAATATTATATAACGTAGGTAAAAGTATCTAAAATATATCATTGTTGAAATGTGTTAAGTCATCTAAAAATTTATTATACTGTTTTGTAAATAAGACATATCTAAAACTATTTAAAAAAGATGTGAAGTCATCTAAAATTTTCTAAATTATTTTTTTTTCCCAAATGTATATAAATATTTAAATTTAACATATGTACATGTAAATGTATAAATAGATAGAATGTGTAAAAAAAAATCTAAACAATATGTATAAAACTATATATAATATATTATGAGTCTATTATCTCATTCTAAATTTGTTAAGAGAAAGATAGAAAAAATATATAGAGGATAGATTTATATTGAAATATTATCTCATGCCAATTCAAGCGTGAGATCCAACAGATGTAGCAATTTAAATCGGAAAGTGCATAACTAGTTAACATTCTAAGAATAGCATACTCCCTGAGTGAAGATTGAAGCACTTGGGCATAGATAATTTTGAATTAGCAAATCAGTGTATAAAAATAATAATTATATGTCTTATTAGTTTCATCGAACAAAAATTGAGTATGTCTAACAGTTTATGAAACACCAATGTTACACAAACGAAACAATGACAAGCAAATCATACTAGAGAAATTAGACATGAAATTCTAAATCAATAAATGCGAAACAACAGAAATTAGACATGAAATTCTAAATCAATAAATGCGAAACAAATTGATAAAAGTATGATACAAATCGACAATGAAACAAATTGATAAAAGTATGATACAAATCGACAATGGTGATGTTTTAAATGATAAAATGTATAAATAATAAAAAAAAAAAAATAATAAACATGAGGACATATTATCTCCCCAAGTGATTAAAAAAAAGTCATATTAATGACCAAATTAAAAAGTGCATAAAAGAGGCATGTGTGCCATGCTAATGATATGATACAAGGTATAATGAGAAATTCAACGTTCGTGACACTTTAATAAGTAACTAAAAGAAAAATTATCACAAAGTGTGAAAAAAAAAAAAATGCCCTTCTTTTCTCTATAATCTGTTGATATGATTATAAAATAACTTTTTAAGATAGAGGTTCAAAAAGATTATTTATTTAAATTTACATTACAATCTTGAGATATAAAGACAAAATTTTCCATGTGAGGCTTCTGAATTATTTTTGCTGCAATTAATAGTTTTTTTGAGATGACTGACGGGTCACGGACAGGGGGACAGCCAGTCAATTATTTCGGTATATGCAGATAAAAATTGGACTGAGTTAAATTCAAAATGTTGTTGTTGTTGGTTTTTTTTTTTTTTAAAATAATTAATTTATCCTTTTTTATTACTAAAGAACAAGAATTTAAATATAAGAAAAATTAGGATTAGGTAGGTAGGTCTTTGTTCTGAAAATGCATATTTGATTTTTTGAAATGTTATAATTTTGCTTATATTATTTTTTTTTGGTACAGGGACCTTCCGGTTTCTGGATCCACAGGGGAACCAACTAATCCGGAATCGAGCCGGGTAGGACCACAAGAGCGGCAAAGCTCTCCCTCAAGAGTTTTTAACACTGCTGCATATTATTTTATGTAGCTAGATTTCGATTTGAATGCATGTATATTTATCAAAAAAAAAAAATATATTTGTCTAACAATAGTCTAACCTGATACCATTTGTAACACCCCGCTAGCTTAATAAAATTAGAGTTAAATTTTCGCAAATTCTTTTCTAAAAATACGTATTAGTTTGCGAAGTCGTGATTCGAGATGCTACTGAAAAATCATTCTTTTCTAAAAGTCTGTTATCTTTTAAAACTATTTAAGAAACAAAGATTCTTTATAAACATACACGCATGTTACACTGTACAAAATCTGACCGGTAAACCGGATTAAAAACTGGAAACTCACATGCAAGTCTGAAGAACTGAAAATGTCAGCGGAAGTAAAAACGTGACAAAACATATACATAACAAGTCTGCAAACTGACGTAAAGTCTACCCCACGACCATCTGCTCACCTCACTCCTCTAGACCGACCCTGTGACCTGAAAAAGATAATATAGTGGGGGCGTGAGCACTAAAAGCCATTGTGCTCAGCAGAAACTCATGCTGAAGTAAAACAATAATAATAATTGCAATATCATGATCAATAATATATATAACTGAAACTGGTACAGAAACTGAATCTGTAATCTGGTGATCAACCGTAAATAATCTGCTACGGGATCATAAACTGTATCTGGCGACTATAATAAACTGCGCCGCGCCTATGTGTACACACTCTAGTGGGCAGATTACGCCACTAGAACTTAAGGTGGACTTACGGCTTCCTGGGCTGGCCGCCACCCTAAGCGGACCTGAATATACATACCTTGAACATGATAGCTGTAATTATACTCAATGTAATACTCAGTCTGAGTCCCCACCTGAACTGCTAGTCTGAAATTGTAAGTGCTGCTGCTGATCAAACTGTAAAAATATATAAATTAACAAACAAACACTAAGTATTATGCTCAGATTGACTGAAAATAACTGCTAAGATGCTCGACTCGAACTAAATATTTAACTGGAAGAATCTCGGGGTTTAACTTGACTAACAAGAAAACTGGACTGAACTGGTACTGGTATATTGAACTGACTGGACTGAAAATTTAACTGAACTGACTGAACTGACTGAACTCGGACCGGGTCTCGTGTGAACCATATTGGTCACAAGGAAAACATTGTTCCCTTTTCTTATTGGTTAATAAATAATTTTCCTCAACAAAATTTAAATGGTTTACTTAATCTTAATTATAAATTAATGATAATATAATCAAGCGTGCAATTTTTGATTCGAAGTCTTTGCATGTGGAGATATTTCACCTAAGTAAGACAAACTCGTTATTGGAAATACTTGAAAGTTAGAAAATGGTTAGTTAGTGGATTTTAGTGGGAAAAAAAGATACTTTCTTGTTATTTTTTATTATCCTTAATATATATTCCAAAATAATATTACATTTACTCGAAAGTCATCCTCGTATCTTTCCATATCTTTCATTTTATTTATTTATATTTGTTTATTTTGAATCACTTTGAAATTAATTTCAAAGGTAAATCCCAATCATTACAGGAGTGAATACCATATATCATTGCATTCCATAAATCATCATCTTTATTGTGAAAACTACATATATGAATTTTCATGATAATATTACCTATCACATCTATGAAATTGCTAACCTACTCATCATTGACATATTAAAATGGATACAATAAGATATGTTCCTTATTCCCGGTGGTCACATGTTAATATATCCTCCGCTTATGTGTCATGCATACATTGGTGATGTATTTTTTTGAACATATTAACATCACCAATGTGTGCATGTCACGTAAGCTGTGGGCATATTAACACGTGCCCACCGTGAGTAGGGAAGCATTATCTCTCACCATGTATGACATGTTAATCATATATCACAACAGTTGGTGGACATATTAATTTGTACCTATATGGACAGGACAACGAGAATATTTACGTTTTAGATTTTTTTTTTTTAATGAGAAAACATGCATCAAAATAATTGAGTATCAATTCAAGAACACAATTTATTATACGCGTAAGGTAGACGGTCGATACCGTACTTTTCAATAAAAATGCATACGTATACTATTAAAAGTCATACTTATGTTTATGTTAATTTTAAAGAATGATGTTCTCTAATGAAAGTATACATTTGTAAACAAAATATGTCGACCAACACAAAACTAACACATTGAAGAATAGTTGGTACTTTTAGGAATAGGATTAATTATATTGCTATGCCCCAAGTTTTACAAAACTAGGGTTGACCCAAAATTGTACCGTACAATTAAGAATAATTATCATGGTCCAGAAAATTATGCCTTTTACCTTCAAATCTTATTTTATTTTCATATTCACAATTTTTTATTTTAATTTTAAAATTCATTAACTTTTATAGTTTATATATGATTTATTTTTGGTTTATTTTTGTCATTAATTTTTAAATTGCATTATTTTTCAATTTATGTCTAGTTATAACTTATAACTGGTTTATGTATATATTGGGCCAGTCTTCTTATGACTCAAGTGTTGGAAAGCTCAGTTGAGATTAAGTTGAGTTTATAAATGTGGCCCATGTGGGCTAATCTAATTAATTGGGTAATATACACAAAACTAGCCCATTTGTGAATAACTGATTTTTTTTTTTTTTTAATTTTTTTGGAATTTGTTTTACAAACACATGACATTAAAAATAAAACATATATAAACAATTCATAAACGAGCTATAAATTAAAAAATAATGCAATTTAATACTCAAATACAAAAATAAATCAGAACAGTTAAAGTTAGTATACTTAGAATTAAAAAAAAAAAATCATAAATGTAAAAATATAAAATCAGAACAGTTAAAGTTAGTATACTTATAAAATCAACTTATCGTTGATTTTTCTTTTTTCAATTTGTTAGAATATTACTTGTGAGTTGTCCCACATCGTTCATACATGGAAAATAGACTCACCTTATAAGTTTAATGGGCTACTCCTCTTTCTACCAATTGGTTTTGGGATGGAATTATACTTGGGCTTCATATGGGCTTTTCCCTCTCATGATCCGCTTCATGTTAGTGGGACTGCACCCGTTTTCCCTAACCACTATGGGTAGATTTGACGGGTCGAAGTTTTAACCATCGGACCACACATCGTACGAGTGCGGTCAAATTCACTATATTTAATTGTACGGCCAAACACGACAATGACATTGTGTGTTTTAAATTTTCGTACCTACAATTGTTGCAGATTGTAGATAGATAATGTCATCATGAACGCATTTACACACACACACACACTCATACACATAAAAGGGAATTGAATCTTGCAATGATCTAAACCCACCTACCAAAACTAAATATCATTAAATTCTCCAAACCAAACAACGTTGTATATACATACATAAATACATCAACATCTATATATGTATGAGAATTTTTACTGAATAAAATTCACTACTATACAATGTTGCATTATAATCCTTCAATAACTCACTTATATATACCCAAGTTGCAAATTCGAAATCATCGTTCGCCAAATTTTCCGACAATTTCATGTCGGTTGGTCCGGGAGAACTACAATGGTCTTGTTCTTGATAAAACTCGGGATGACAAAGGGTACTCTAAACGATATTTCTATTTTTGGGCACGTTGCTTATAAGTTAAAAATAGGGTCGTATCATATATATTTATGGAAAAAACTACTACTTGAAGTAGAAAAATGTTCGGACGATGCGACAATATTCGAGGAAATGAATAATAATACTATAGAGTTTCGTGTGCCTATTATTTCATTTTGTCTTTTTTTTTTTTTTTT